TGAACATTTAAATGGTACTGTTTTTGATTCTGAATATGTTTCGTTAGATGTAGTATTTCTTTTTACTAATATTCCTGTTGAGCTAGTATTAAATAGCATCGACTGGAGATGGGTTTACATTTCGGCGAAGACAGCATCTCAAAAAACGAATTCATTATTGCAGTTAGATTTATTTTAGATTCAACTTTTTTTGCTTTTAATAACAGAAATTACAAACAAGTATTCGGTACTCCAATGGGTTCATCGCTGATAATCGCCGACATTGTAATGCAAGATCTAGAAGAAATAGCATTTAAAAAATTGTCAGTACATTGTTTTACTTTAGATATGTTGATGATGTCATTCTTGCACTTCCATCCGATACTATCAATGACGCTTTAAATATTTTTAATTCTTTACATAAGAGATTGCAATTTACTTTAGAGGTTGGTACAAGTGGCAGATTGAGTTTTCTTGATATGATGCTTGTTATAAATAACCAGAGAATTATATTTGACATTTATCATAAAAAGACGGTTTCGGGAAGATTCCTTAATTTCCATTCAAATCATCCTCTTTGCCATAAAAAAGACACTATTATTAGTTTCATTGACAAAATTATCCTCTTATCACATCCATGGTTCCAACAAAAAAATCTGATAGATGCAATTCATACCTTTCAAATAATTGTTATCCTCTCTCTTTTATCTTCTCTACAATTGAACAAAGATTAAAATTTCACATACATAATAAACATATTACACGTAAGTCACAAGAGAAAGACAAATATTTTACGATTCCTTACGTCAAATCTATTTCCGAAAGTTTCCTTCCTATTTCTAGTATGTTCCATTGTAAACTAGCCTTTTCTATCCCTAACACATTAAAAAATTTTATAAAAAGAGGAAAAGATAAACTTGATTTCTATTCAATCAAAATCCTATCCAATCAAAATATAGTTTATAAGATCTCACGTGATGATTGTGAGGCGAATTATGTTGGTCAGACAAAAAGAAAATTGAGATTACACGAACATATCTCAGACATTAAGAAGAATACTGTTCTCTCACTGTCATAACTGATCATCGTATTAATTTTACCACAATTTTAGATGGAACGAGGTAAAAATTTTAGACTGCGAATCTTCGTATAATAAGAGATTGGTGTCTGAAATGATTCACATTAGAAGACAGAAACAAGGTCTTAATAAACAAAATGATACTGAATCTTTAATACTAAAACTTACTCACAGATTATTCAATCTCTTTCTCCTTCTTAACTGCATTCTTTTTCTATTTATTTCTCCTCTCCCATTTTTCTCTTCCCTCTATCTTATTTTTTCCCTCTTATATTCATCTTCCTTTTTAGTTTACTACTCCAATCTTCTTGTGTTTATATTTTGTACTTCACATTGTCTCTGAGTATCTTAGAGAGATGATTACATTCAATCTTATCGCATTGCCTAATAAGAGATAACATATCACTTCGACATACAATAAAAGGTATTTATTTTCAATTTATTTGTAACTAAATTAAACATATATAATGTATGACGGTACGTCACACATTCTCTATCCGTATTAATAACTCTTATGTACATTTCTCATAATATTACATTTTTTGCCTTTTTATTTTTATTTTTATTACTTGCGACTCGTTCTGTACTTTTTTTATTATTTTTGATTTCTTATTCCTGTGACAATTTTAGATTATATTTTGTACTTTCTAACAGAAACATGTTCCTTAATCTACATACACAAGCCAGAGGAATACCATGTTGTCGAATACAACTTCCTTAGAACTTTCATTTTATATTGAAGCGAGATTTATAGTTGATATTGCAATCGAGAGCGAATTTTAATTTTTATATATTATCTATGTATATATATATATTATCTAATATTTCCATTGTTATTTTTGTTCACATTGAAAATGATCCAACAGGGATCGAAACGTTTGTTTTGTTTTTACTTGTTGATCAAATTAAAGTTTATATTTTATGACATGTTTTATTTATTAACTGTTCAAAAAATTCTTTTATTTTATGATAATTGTTTTAGGCTCGTAGCCCTTTTCTTTCTGTTTCTTTAAGATAATGTTATATAAAATTTAATTTAAATTCTGTTTTTTTTTAAATTAAAGAAATGTAAAAAATGAATTTAGCAAAAAGAAGCATTGTTCTGCCTTGCAAATTGAAATATTAATCGTTGAAGTTTGTTAGGTTAGAAAACCTGTCATTCGCTACGCCCATAAGAAGTTGATAGAGAACGATAGAAAAATTCTGTCGTTTCGAATATGGTTTGTAAATTCACTAATTTGAATCAGATTTTATAGGAATCTTGTACAAATCTTATAAAATAAAATATGATAGGATTCATATCCAATCAATCATGATGCTCTCGCAAAGTTAACAATAGAAAATGATACAAACTTATAAAAAAAAAAGACAAATTGATAAAAATTCTATAGTTCTCAATCGTTCTCTATCAATTTTTTTACCAGGACGATCTCACTCTGTTCCATACATAGCTGTATTCACTCTCTTTGAAATTCACTCAAAAGAATTTAGAGAGTATTCTTTTTTATTTTAAATGCAATAATTTTTGTAGTTTTAATGAATTTTAATAATAAAAATATGCAATAATAGTTAAATTACATGTATAAGAATTTTTTCATGTATGAATATATATATAATAAATATGTATAAACATACATAATATAATAAATTATATTAGGTGTTGGAATTAATTCGTAGCGTTTTGCAAGTGATGGGAAGTACTTTCATTAATGTATTTTTTAATGCTCATATGAAATAAATAACATTCTTTCATTAAAAAACGCTATGAATTAATTCCAACACCTAATATATATAATATTTATGATTATTTATACATAAACATGTATAAATATTCACAAACATATATAATTATATATGAAATATGTCCATATATGTTGTCCATATATCCTTCTTTCTTTTATAAAATTACTTTTAAGTGTAATAGAAGTAATAATAGAAGTAGTAATAATAATGTGAAAACATTAAGAATAATTAAAAAGATAATTTTGTGAACATGTATAGACACATTCTAAATAAAGAGTAACTTACTATGTTTATTATAATTGTAATTCGGATAACGATTCGGATTTATAAAACTTTTATAAAAATACATTTTAAACACAAACATATTTATAAAATAAAAAAGTATAACTTTGTACCTAAATTGTTATTTATCTAATAACAAGGTACAAAGTTATACTTTTTTTATTTTATAAATATGTTTGTGTTTAAAATGAATTTTTATAAAAGTTTTATAAATACGTTTATGTTTAAAATACATTTTTATGAAAGCTTTGTTGATATGTAAAAATTAAATATACATTAACCTTCATTTTAATAATATTAATCAATTTATCCCATACCATTAGTTACCTTACTCCGATCCCAGGGCTAGTTGAATCAGATGGAATGTATTAGAAAAAAATGCATTTTTTTCATATTAGTTGTCAATTTTCTCTTATTATTAAAATATTATTAGATAGTCAAATGTATGTAGTAACTGGTGTAGAATTCATTTTTCCGATAAGTCTTTTAATTTCTGTAAAAATTCGAAACTGAAGAATGAGTCTACTATCCCCGATCTCCCCTACTATGAGAGTAATACTTAAGAGAGAATTCTGTCTTCCTCACCAATTTTGATGAAATTAGGCTGCGTTTTTATACAAAATAAATGAATCTGGAATATTTTTTTTTTATGCAATACGTTTTCAACCATTACGTATGCGTGCGTAATACGCCCCAACTGCTTCTGAAAGTTTGTTCGCGTCGCACGATCCAACATGCCCAACACACTCCAATACGTTCGCGTCACCGGAATCAATATGGCAACTAGATATTTGCGTCGTGTTACAAGGGCAAGGTGAAAAGTTCTCGGCCTAGAAGTGAAAGAATAAGTTTTTTACTTTAAAAATACATTTATTTGTAGCAGTACCATCTATGGGTTAGGCCGAGAACTTTTCACCTTGCCCTCGTAGAGTATACTCCAAGAGCACGCTCTATTTGCCTCAGAAGGTACAATTGGGGCATGTTACGCATGCATGCGTAATGGTTGAAAACGTACTGTATCAAAAAAAGTATTTCAGAAAAAGTATTTCATTTTGTATAAAAACGCATTTAATAAATGCGTTTTTGATATAAATATAAAAATATAATATATAACAATATAATATTAACATTAATAAAATAAGGTTTATTAAAAACATAAGTATAAGTGAGTTTTTTATTTTATCAATTAATCAATCATATTCTATCAAAAATGCAACTTTGTTCCGTAAAAACTGCATTTACACATAATTTGAGTAATCAATTGATGAATTAAAAAATTTGCCTGACATATATAAAATGGATAATTATATACTTACATCAAAATATTGCCATTTTCTAGTATTGTTCCCGCTCTTTGCATTGTGATCTTTTATGCTCTTATAAGTATTCTTCATGCCTGCCATTTTGCTTTTGCATTGCAAATCTACTGACACTATAACTTTTTTTATTTAGTTCTAAGGCAATAATATTCCACAATTTTTTCATTGATATTTTTCCATTCTTAATTTGGCATTCATGTTTCCCATGTAATGCAAGAAGAATTGCTTCATGTGGCCAATGAAAAGTATAAAATAGTACATACTAACTCTGCTTTTGTCATTTTTAAATACATTTTCTATTCTTGAAAGAGTAGTAATAATATATTATACCTTTTTCTTCAGAAAGATCATTTATACAGTTTTCTGATATTGTTTGCATATCACTTGTGTCATTATTTGGATATATAAATCCTATCAATAAATATAAAATATGATTTATAAAAATTACAAATAGAAAATGATAATGATTTTATATTATACTCATAAATATTAGCTTATTGTAACATAAATCTATTTCAGAACTTACTTTATATCAAATATTACCTAATTTTGTAATAATAATTTTACCTTGTGTTGAACTAATGATGCTTGATGATTGTGTAACAATTGAGTTGCAAATAATAAATCTATTTGAAAAGATATATCAAATTAGAAATCTTTTCTACTTTAAAAGTTACAAAAACACATAGGTTATATTATGTTCTTACTTTATTAGCCTTTCTTGCATCTTCCTCGGAAACTTCTAAAGTATGCATGTCTCCGGTATTAACATCTATTAATTGTATAATCGGCATTTTTAATTTCAATATAAAATGTTTAAATTAAATGAATAGATCACGAAACACATAGGCTATGTCATTATGATATTCCCGATTGTTTCCCGCGCTTTTGTGCGTTCAAAATATCGCTTCAGCCATACTATCTCTTCGGTAGAAGCGTTTGCAGCACGCTGGAAGCGAAAACTTATGACATTATATATGACGTATCTGCTCTGCTACGAAGACACTTCGAAAGGTCTAGTGGATCACATCTGAAGCGTTGAAGTATCTAGTGGATCGTACCCTATAGGTTATGCGATTTCGCGGAATACATATATACTTAAGGTTTATTCGCGTCGCATGCTCCAAATTAATCCAGAGAACACTTGAATTACAGATAAGGTGGCGGTTGGAGCAATTGCATTTATGTGCTCCAATGTTCAATGACACGAACGGATTAGGACAAATGCGCATGTCACCTAATCTAATCAGTGAGACTACTCGAACGGGTCGGACATGTGTCTCGTTTCGTTTCGAGTGTTTTATGTTACCTCGATTATTTAAAAAAAACAAAATTTATACAATTTATACAAAATAAATGCGTTTTTAATAAATATAAAAGTTATATTATATTTTTATATTATATTATATTATATTAT